CTCTCTCTCTCTCTCTCTCTCTCTCTCTCTCTCTCTCACACACACACACACACACACACACACACACACACAGAACTAAGCTGGTCATGGTCTCTGGCTGCCAGTAGCCTTCATTTTACCTCAAAAGCAGCTTCATTAGACAAATCATTTCCCTCCAGAAAACAGTTGAGGCTGAAGTGAGCTCCTGAGATTATCGCTGCTCTTTTGGACAAAAGCTTTTTTGGAGTGACACCAAACAGATTGGAATGAGACTCTGATTTCCTGACTGAGGCTGTTATATTCAGCTGGCAGGTTCTGGTCTCAGAAATCTAGAATCCAGCATCACCTGTCACAAACTATTCCGAGAATGAAAGCATGAAGAGTTTTGATCCAAGTAGCGGCGGGTTTGATAAATCAGTCAATAAGGTGTTGTTATATCTACGAAAGCTGTGAGCTTGGCAACGGTCCATCCATTTGTGCCAGAGAGTTCATGTGTCACGTTGCTCCAGCGGCCAGACTAGTATTCTTTCGGTCCCTCTCTCTCTCTCTCTCTCTCTCTCTCTCTCTCTCTCACACACACACACACACACACACACACACACACACAGAACTAAGCTGGTCATGGTCTCTGGCTGCCAGTAGCCTTCATTTTACCTCAAAAGCAGCTTCATTAGACAAATCATTTCCCTCCAGAAAACAGTTGAGGCTGAAGTGAGCTCCTGAGATTATCGCTGCTCTTTTGGACAAAAGCTTTTTTGGAGTGACACCAAACAGATTGGAATGAGACTCTGATTTCCTGACTGAGGCTGTTATATTCAGCTGGCAGGTTCTGGTCTCAGAAATCTAGAATCCAGCATCACCTGTCACAAACTATTCCGAGAATGAAAGCATGAAGAGTTTTGATCCAAGTAGCGGCGGGTTTGATAAATCAGTCAATAAGGTGTTGTTATATCTACGAAAGCTGTGAGCTTGGCAACGGTCCATCCATTTGTGCCAGAGAGTTCATGTGTCACGTTGCTCCAGCGGCCAGACTAGTATTCTTTCGGTCCCGTTTGCTATTGGTTAGATGGCTTGATTCATGAGGGTCCAGTATTCTCTGTCACAAAAGCGCCACACACTAGACACATAAAGGAACGTGGCCACTATAGTGAGGTTCTGGATAGTCTTATATGATTTTGACCAAGAATGTGTCAGAGAATAAAATGCTTAAATTTGTTCTCATTTGAACATACAGTACCCTATAGTACAAATACGAGTAAGATGGAACAACTACACAATAGCTATTAGTTGTGTTGGGTGAGTTACTCTAAAAAAAAGTAACTAATTACTACCTACTAATTACATCTTCAACAGATTACTGTAGTAATTACTCTCTCTAAAAAAGGACTGCATTACTTATTACCAGTGTTGGGGGTAACGCATTACACGTAACGTGAGTTATGTAATCAAATGATTTTTTTCAAGTTACTATTAAAGTAACACATTACTTTTAAATTTACAATGAAATATCAGACTTTTTCAAATAAGCAACGCAAGTTTTCCCATTTGTTCACGGACACCTTTCCTGTCCCCATGAATTTGGAGTGAGGTGCAGAGGCACAGGCAACTTTGGGCTTTTGTTATTAAAAAACAAATACGCAAGCCCAGCCCAGGTTACAAAAAGTAACTAAGTAATGCAAATCAGTTACTTTTTTATGGAGTAACGCAATATTGCAATGCATTACTTTAAAGTAACACATTACTTTTAAATTTACAATGAAATATCAGACTTTTTCAAATAAGCAACGCAAGTTTTCCCATTTGTTCACGGACACCTTTCCTGTCCCCATGAATTTGGAGTGAGGTGCAGAGGCACAGGCAACTTTGGGCTTTTGTTATTAAAAAACAAATACGCAAGCCCAGCCCAGGTTACAAAAAGTAATTAAGTAATGCAAATCAGTTACATTTTTATGGAGTAACGCAATATTGCAATGCATTACTTTTAAAAGCGCTTATTACTAATTACTTTCTAAATCCTATATTAACCTCAACTAGTTGAACAATACAAAGATAGACTTTAAACTGATCTTTTAATTCTTTCTAATAAATAATATAAAAATGCATAAATTATTCTTGGACTGACCAAAGTAGTTAAAGCGAGAACGTTATATTAAAAACATACATTTTAACATTTGACGTTAAATCCACAATTGTTTTATATAGAATTGTTTTATAGCCTAAACAGTATTTAATGCAATTACATCAGAAGTAACTGTAATTAAATTATAGAACAATTGAGAGTAATCCCTTACTTTATACGTTTTCAAGGGAAAAGTAATTAAATTACAGTAATAATGCATTAAACCCAACACTGATTATTAGCCATTTCCATTCACTTCTGTAATGTATGGTTGAGAACTTACCCCAAAACACACCCATGGCACGAACACAACTGCTTCCAGCTACGCAAGCGCTGAAATGTCTTCGATCACACAGAATAGCACAACTACATGTTGCATCTGTTTTGTTTTCAGATGATGTTTGGTCCAGTCAGGACTGTAAATGCTTATTCACATTTCTCCTCTTTCTCTACAGACAGAATGTCCTTTGAACGCGCTATCTTCATAACTGTAATAGCACTGACCTTTATAACCTCGTGTGACACGATCAAGCCCACTCAGAGGCCGAAGTACCAGTACACCAAGAAACCCCCCCGAGAGGTGGTCCAAACTACTCTATATGTAGGCAAGCCTACAGTCACAGCACGGATTGTGGACTACACCAAAACCAGAGAGCGCTTCCCTGTGCACGTCACAGAGAGCACTACAGTTCCTGCTGACAGCTATATAGACTACCCTACAGACACCACCACATCTCCCACCACGGCCAAAGACAATTACACGCTAGACTACAATGAATGCTACTTCAACTTCTGTGAGTGCTGCCCTCCAGAGAAAGGCCCGCAAGGCTTCAAAGGAGATATAGGACTGATCTTCATAACTGTAATAGCACTGACCTTTATAACCTCGTGTGACACGATCAAGCCCACTCAGAGGCCGAAGTACCAGTACACCAAGAAACCCCCCCGAGAGGTGGTCCAAACTACTCTATATGTAGGCAAGCCTACAGTCACAGCACGGATTGTGGACTACACCAAAACCAGAGAGCGCTTCCCTGTGCACGTCACAGAGAGCACTACAGTTCCTGCTGACAGCTATATAGACTACCCTACAGACACCACCACATCTCCCACCACGGCCAAAGACAATTACACGCTAGACTACAATGAATGCTACTTCAACTTCTGTGAGTGCTGCCCTCCAGAGAAAGGCCCGCAAGGCTTCAAAGGAGATATAGGACTGGCAGGTCAGCCGAGTGAAGTCATACGTTCTATACGTTCTTTTAACAAAATAGGGCCAGATTTACTAAACTGGTGCGTTTTCCAAAAGTTCCATCGTTACCAATAGTGTTCAATGGAACTTGAGACCATAGTCCAGCTAACGATGCTTTTGGGAAACGCACCCCAGGGCAAATTAGTGTGAGACCGATGCAGTTATTGACCAAGGCAATCTACCAAGGGCAGCGCAAATTAGCATCACAAACAAGCTGAGGCAATGATAATTGGGTGCGTGTAATGTACTAAGAGCACAGGTGCAAAATGGGTTAAGACATGCTTTTTTGGGTGTTGGATAATGGTGCAAATACCAGTAAGCTGACTGCAGCAAACTTTAGTAAATCACCTTGCAGGATTCAATTAGCCCCTTAACTGTCACTTGTCAACTAGATGCTCTTTTTGTATTGCCTTTTCAAAAAAAAAACCTTTTAACGGGCTCCTCCCCCTAGTGGGTGGTGTCAAGTGTCATATTACAGAATATTTTGTGATAAAAGTAATATTGCGACAGAAATGTAAGTTCGGGTGTCAGCCGGTGGCTATTTTTGTTATAACGTCTAAATATGATCTCACAGGAACCTCATTTTTTAATATCAACTTCAAATTTGCAACATAACTTATATATGGCTTTGATTTTATAGCAATTGTAGATTCCAAAATATTTTTGTGAAATATTTATTTTATATAAAATAAAAACTTTTGGTATCACTTTCTATGAAGCCCATATTTATAACACATTATAAGGGTATTCTAAAGGCATTGTAATGAATGCATAATGCATTATAAAAAAAAACATAATATGTTGTTTCATCTCATAAATAATCATTAATTATGATACATTATAAAACTTTCTTATTTGTGGTTATAACTTTTATGAGTATGATTATTTATAACACGCAATAAACACCATGTTAAATCCACTTAATTTATAATGGATTATAAGTCTTTTTAGTACAGTATATTTTACTTCTAACTTTAATATAATAATACTTCCATTTTTTCTTGCTTTCACTTCAGCAATAATCTGAGGAATTGTGTTCTCCAACCTTAGGTCTGTGTTCCAAAGCGTTCATGAATTACAACAATCTAAGTTTGGAGAGTGCATTTTCACGTCTATGTTCAAAGGGGGAGGGGACATTTAATACATTTAAATACTCTCCTCCCCTACATTAATGTTGCATCTGAAAGGGAAACTCCTACAAATACATATGCAATAAAGTCAGCTGCAAAAATAACTGTGTCCACACCTTTTCATCGCTAAGTTTTCACTGCGTGTCTTTAGTAAACCCAGACAGCAGTTGTTAGTAAATCTGGCCCTTAGGCTGATGATACATGGGGCAACTTTTTGAGCAATTTTGCCAGGCAACCTTTTTTGAACAATGTTTCTTGGGCACTTTCCCATTGAGAATGGGTAACACATTTCTATATGGATACTTTAGATCGGTCGAGGGTCCTGTGTTTCACCTGGTTGCCTGTTGACGGCAACATTAGCCAAAGTTGCCCGGCAACATTGATCAAAAAGTTGCCCTGTGTATCATCAGCCTAAGTGTGTTATTTACTATAGGTATGTGGGGGAAAACCTGGCTTCTGTCATGTTGTTTAATGCCATATTGTAGGCCCACCTGGAGAAAAGGGAGTACCTGGACCCAAAGGTACGCCGGGCCCAATAGGGCCAAAGGGCTTTACAGGACCTAAAGGAGATAAAGGTACATTATCCTGGTTATTTTAACTGCAATCTTGGTGATGTCATCTGAAATAACATGCATGTTTGAGATTGTTTGAGATTTCCTATTGTTTTCAACAGGAGAGAAAGGTGATCAAGGAAACATAGGATTCACTGGATCTCCAGGCATCCAGGGAAAGGCTGGAATGAAAGGTGAACATAGTTATAGATCAGGTTCCCCTGTGAATGTAAATAAGGTGTATAAACTAAATATATTTTTGACTAAACAGGTGAGATGGGTATTAAAGGTGAGAAGGGTGCAGCTGGATTGCCAGGATTCAAAGGTTCGAAAGGAGAAAAAGGAGATCCAAATTTGAATGTGTCAAAGGGTGACCAGGGAGAGCCAGGCAAAGATGGACCACCGGGACCCCAAGGCATGACTGGTGAAAAGGGTGAAAAGGGTGATAGAGGAGAGTGCGGTTTACTTGGTGACAGGGGCCAGAAAGGTGAGCCAGGTGATCCTGGACCACCAGGTGTGCGTGGAGACCCTGGTCCATCTGGGCAACACGGCATGCACGGGACTCCAGGAAGCGCCGGAGAACGCGGGGTACCAGGAGTTCCTGGAGCAAAGGGCGAGCCAGGAGCACGTGGACCAGCAGGAGTCAAAGGTATACGAGGTCTGAGGGGAATGAAGGGTGACCATGGCCCCCAAGGGAAACGTGGAGACCGAGGCCTACGGGGACTGAAGGGTTCTATGGGTCAAAGTGGACCGAGACTACGGTCTGCTTTCAGCGTCGGCCTGTATCCAAGCAAGTCTTTCCCTCCATCGGGATTTCCAGTTCGCTTCGACAAGGTCTTCTACAATGGAGAAAACCATTACGACATAGTCACTAGCAAATTCAACTGCACCTACTCAGGAGTTTACGTGTTCTCCTACCAGATCACAGTGAGAAACAAGCCGCTGCGTGCTTCTCTGGTGGTGAATGGGGTGCGTAAGGTACGTTCGAGAGACACCCTACAGGGTCAAGACATTGACCAGGCATCCAATCTAGTGATCCTGAAGCTGGATGTGGGAGACGAGGTGTGGGTAGAGACGCTGAGAGACTGGAACGGTGTCTACTCCAGCAGCGAGGATGACAGCACCTTCTCTGGGTTCTTGCTCTATCCTGACTAACACCTTCTTCATGGCTAGATCTCGAACTGAACTTTACATGACATGGACATGGGAGGAATGTACGACCAATTACAGTAGATGTAGTGTTTTTATCATAGAGAGACAGAAGAGTACTGTTTAAACAAGTATTAAAACGAGTATCCCATTTTGTTAACCACACCAGATTTGATTTCAAAACTAAATGTCTTTTTAGACAAACAAATATCTAAACTACATATCCACAAAATTGTCATACATGTGAGAGCACTGTGCATCTCTTTTTACCGATTGTTTTGGACATTCAGTATATGTTAAAACTTTCTGATGAGGAAATAATTGTTTGGATTAGATCATAAGTCTTCTTTTAATTATTTTTGCCTTTTGGTATACAGTCCTTATTTACCGCTCAGACATAATTGATTTTGACAAAAAACAAACAAAAAGTGTGATTTGAATGATTCTGACAAAGTAAAACATCGTGTGATAGGATCAACAAAATAAACGAATCGTCAAATCATATCATATGTTATGTATTGTATGAAATACAAATCACAATGTAGGCTGATGGGTTTCTGAGCACTAAAGTAATAAAATCAAGCAAGAAATATCACTTTGATTAACGTTTCACTTTCCTCACAACAAATTGAAAATGTACAAAGTCTGCAAACAAAATTACGGTAACACTTTATTTTCAGGACCAATTTTCACTATTAACTAGCATGCACATTAATAGCATATTGGCTGTTCATTAGTACTAATAAAGCACATATTAATGCCTTATTCTGCATGCCCATATTTCAGATCTCTAAATCCACCCAATACATAAACTTAACAACTACTTTACTAACTATTAAGTAGCAGCAAAATTAGGAGTTTACAAAAGTCATAGTTAATAGTAAGAATTGGACCTTAAAATAAAGTGTGACCAAAATTACATTTAATTCTGAATCTTGCTTTAATGCAGCATCATCAGGAACCTGACTGATGGTTTTAGAAGACTCAAAAATGATGCAAGATGCTTTTCTGAACACAAAGTTTGATTCTTGTGTTTGACTAATTTTAAGCCATGTTCTAAAGGCTAATGGGCTATTCAAGGCAAAACAAGGAAGCTAATTTGTAATGATTAAATAACTTAGCCACTTACATTATGAGGTCCACACAGGCCTCAGGTCCAGAATTCTCACTTTGCCTTTGCAGGTACAGTATATGTCCCAGGACCTTGTTTTCTAACCTGATGTAGTGTGTGTGTTGGAGGATGAGGCAGGTGCCATCCAAGTGTTGTTTTTACATTATGTAGTATCCTATAATAAGGCCTTTCCCATTTCCGTGTAGCTGGGTGTTTCATCCTTCCCAACAATGACCTGCTCAGGCACAGTCACGAGTGTTCACCAACAGTTCAGTTCATCTGATATAAAACATTCAATGTTGCACTCAATGCAAATTGAAGTTGCATAAGAATGTCTCCTCACACTCATGACGCTTTCATTAGAAACCTCAAAAAACTGAAATGCTGTCTGTGAAATTCCAAGAATATTTCAAAACAGATGGAAACATACAGTGTCTTTCATATAGTATGTGAAAAACGTGATTTTTTTAATTAATTTTTTTACATTATTTATTTTCCAAAAGCTAAGTGTATTTTCAACTAACTGAACATCTGGAGTTGGTATGGTGTCTAAAGGAGGATTTTGAATTAGGTGTGTGCATCAAAAAACAAGGCCAATTTAAATGGATAAAGTTTGATTTCACATCAGTAGAGACACAATTTAGGAACTTTTTAATGTTAAAAGGTTCGGCCTTCAAGAAAACACAGCTCATTTATGTCTAATAATATGACAAATAATAAATCCTATTATTTGTCATACAACATGTTGCACTATTCTCAAGCTACACTCTTAAAAATAAAGGTGCTTCACGATGCCATAGAAGAACCTTTTTGTCTAAATGGTTCCATAAAGAACCTTTAACATCTGAAGAACCTTTCGGTTTCACAAAAGCTTCTTTGTGGTGAAAGAAGGTTCTTCAGATTATAAAAAGTTGAGAAAGAGATGGTTCTTTAAAGAACCTTTGACTGAATGGTTCCTTTTTGGAACCAAAAATGGTTCTTCTATGGCATCTCTTGAAGAACCTTATGAAGCACCTTTATTTTTAAGAGTGTAATTGGTTATACAATCTTGATTTTTATACCTGAGAGGTCAAGTAAATACTTACAGCGGATCCAAATATTTATAATTAATTATAACTAGTTATGATTAATTATTCATATTTCCCCATGAGCTGATTCGCTACATATGTTTCAAAGCAAATAACTTTATGGCGTACCTTGCAACATTGTGTTTGTCTGTAAAGATAAAATGGCTAAAACAGAAAACAAGAAAGCAGCTCAACATAATAAAAGCACATACAGTCCAAGTTACATGTTTTACAAATTACACATGACCAAGGTATTACAATAGAAACTTCAAATAATAATGTGGAGTAATAAACCTGTTCTACAACACTTATTACATGCTGTTTTATCATTGCTTGTTGTTTAAATATTATTTCCAATTTCAATATATAATAATGTGGAGTAATAAACCTGTTCTACAACACTTATTACATACTGTTTTATCATTGCTTGTTGTTTAAATATTATTTCCAATTTCAATATTTTTGAATATTTTAACCAATAAACAAAGCACTTTCTTACATTTCACTATTATAATTTTTGACAAACAAATCTAAAATTTACAGCAGCCCGACTGTAAACGGCAAAGTGCCTTTAAAACACAAAACTCACAAAATGACAAACAGAAGCTGTCATTGTCATTTATATTCACTCCTGATGGCATTTAAATCAAGCTTTTTAATACAAAGTTGCCCAAGAGAAGACCAACCACTGCTGTGGCAGATATAGACTCCGGCTGTCTTCTCTGCTCAGCGAATCTCTTGTTTACATCGCGCTTGCACTGCATTATGATGAAAGCTATCCTGAGAGGTCAGAAGTCAAGCTGCAACAACAAAATCATTGCATTCACATGCTCAACACACATGACCGTGATCGGCTACAATGCTCAGCACTGCAAGCTTTTATGCATTGGGAGTAGATCTAAATATAATGCTATAATTTTTAATGGTTAGTTAATCTTGGCAGCTGTAATATTTTTAAAGTAATACAAGTTTTCAAAAGAGTCCGACATGTAACACTGATTTCATATGCAAAGATGTTAGCCAATCCCAGCAGTGGCCGTTTAAATCGAACTCTTAAAGGAGACACGCCTCTTTAAAATGACATTTTGGTGCTGATGTATGAATGGTATCTTAAGGGTAAACTGTTGTGTGAATGGCAGATGCGGTGCATTTACCAGAAAGGGCCAACCTGGCAATTTTACAGTAACTTACCAAGTGGCTAATGTCTTCATCCAATCTTTCCAGTATGTTGCTTTATCCCACATTTTGGTCAATCCGATCACTGGTACACAGCGCTATATAAAGGTATAAACAAGATCCAAAATGTTTTGAGCTTGTCCACTTTCAACCACATTTGGAGGTGGTTGAAAGTGATGACCATTTGTATCGCAAACACTCTTGGGCTCTAATATGTTTGAAGAGGTGCAAAAGACGCACTGAGCTGTCAATCAACCACTGCACTAAAACAAGGGGTTAAACTGTGCTAGTTACGTAACCATCTGAAACAACTGGAGATGCACATTCACACGCACAAGACTTGCTCAGTCTGTCAGATATCATGTGAAGCTCATGTGAAGCTCAGTTATTACTCCTCTGAGACAGTTGCACAAAAAAATTTAAAAATAAAATAACATTTGTGTGGTGCACTTTCTGAGTGTTTTTTCACAATTTTATTTAAACATTTCTTTCTTTCATATCAGTTTATTTTTTGTGAATTGTGTACCAAAATGCATCTTAATATTTGACATAGCCGGAGATCAAATTAAGACACCAGTGTTTTCTATTCCTTCAGGAGATCATTTTATTTATAATCGCTTAAATAGCATTTTTCTGGCTTCATACCCAGATCTTTTAGATAACTAAATGAAGTTACAAATTGTCCGGGTACCACATACCACAGTAAAATAACATTTGTGTGGTGCACTTTCTGAGTGTTTTTTCACAATTTTATTTAAACATTTCTTTCTTTCATATCAGTTTATTTTCTGTGAATTATGTACTAAAATGCATCTTAATATTTGACATAGCCGGAGATCAAATTAAGACACCAGTGTTTTCTATTCCTTCAGGAGATCATTTTATTTATAATCGTTTAAATAGCATTTTTCTGGCTTCATACCCAGATCTTTTAGATAACTAAATGAAGTTACAAATTGTCCGGGTACCATATACCACAGCAAAACTGTAACTTTGCATGCATAAGCAATATTTTTCATAGAACAAAGGGTTAAAACGTATGTTTATAATAATTAACTCACTAAATCATAATTCTTTCTTTCATACTGTAACAGCATTTCCTTGAAAGTGAAATATACAGAAAATAAATATGTGATCATACGTTTTTAAATAATACCGTGTTAAAGATTAATTTGTTATACGGAGTGAGTTCTTGTTTACTAATGCGCTGGTGTGCATTAAACCACAAGCTCATCTGTAGCATAACTACTGCATGCCTTAACAAATCCTAGCGTAAAGATCACATCTCACACCAGATTCTGACTCAACTATACTAACAGGTCAGTTATACAAGCCTAACCCACACCAGTTCTGTTCTTGTTATTAATTCTTAATTCAAACGGCCACTAATGCCAATAATAATGGCCAGAAAACATAAGAATTCCACAGCTGGGAAAAAACTGAAATAAATACTAAGTTACGTATTCTCATAGTACTTCACTGACCTGCATAAACTAGCAATAAAATCAGTGCAAGAAACTATAGATTTAAATATTTCAACAGAAATTATAATGAAATTAAGCTTAGGCCTAATCTTTGAGACTTTTTTTTTTTTTGGCATTGTAACATTATTTCCCAAACAATAAAAAACATTTCTATTTTTCTTTGTATTTCTCATTTTCAGTAGTGATTTTCATTGGATTCTCATTAACGCAATACAAT